GGACGTAGGCAGGAAAGCAGTAAACTAATCAGATTACAGCACCTCGACGGTGTGACAGTGTGACAGCATATCTACATTAAACACTGCTCTAATATGCAAAACAGCATCTGTGACTAACAAAAATAACAATAAAAAATGATCTTTGACAGTGTAAGAAAAACAGGATATTGTCTTTAACAGCTGACTAAAATCCAGCAAGCAATACATGTGGCATTTCCTGGTTATAAAAAACAAACAAACGAAGGAGACGGCGAGGTCGTCCTCTCCTCGTTCGTTGGCCGGAGCCCCGGCGCTTTAGTACACGGGGCTGTTGCGGATCCCGCAGCACAACACCATGCTGAAGATCATCTCGAAGATCTGAGGAAGAGGAGGAAGCTGTCAGGGCCGCGTCACAACATTACATCATTACAGCAGCTACGATTTCCACTCGGCAACAGCATTTGTACACTCGCGCCGCCTCCTGATTATCACTGAGACTCTTTGACACGAGAAGGTGGGACGGTCGTCTTTGACCGAGGGAGCAGCCGTGCATCAGCTTCACTAACGCACCAGGAAAGACTTCAGTGCTGTCCTACATAAAACCACAAAAACCAAAAGACCACCCAATAAAATACGATTTTTCCTGCTCATGAGCTAAAAAGGGCCAATGGTGCTTGAGGAAAGGTCAGGGGTCACCTTCATCTTCAAGGGGGTCTATCCCGCTCATATTCTAGCTTCATATTTGCAGCCGTGGGTTCGCAGTTTGTAATAATCTTTACTTTACACTGAGCTCAGTTCAGTCATCCTTCTGATTGGCTGCCCCTCACACAGGAGGTTTAAATAGCAAGTGGGTGGGGCTTCTACGTGGCTGAGGATGACTGTATAAGGACGTATCCTCTGTTACTTGTACACACACTGTATGCATGAAATAAGCAGAAACGCAGCCTTCAGCACATTTACGAACAGCAGCGCTGTGTGATGTTCTCACCATAATGACGGCGACCACCAGCGCGGCGATGCCGATCAGGTAAATCTTATCGTGGAACAGCTCGTTGATTCTGTCGTGGCAGTTCTGCAAAGCAAAAACAAAACATTCAAACACGCCATCTACTGGAGGTCAGAGAGAATGCATCCTGCTCTCCTGCTGCTGCTTCACATTTTTACAAACACCACGTGTCGGCATTTCTTTATTCTCTTAAACCACGATTTCATTTGAGGTTTCATTTAAGTTTTGGAAAGATGGAGGAAAAAATTATTTTTTTAATGTTTAGGAATTTCACTTCCTGTTTGTGGACCAGTCTAAGGCTGCGTTCACACTGCAGGTCTTAATGTTCAATTCAAATTATTTGATAAATCCGATTGTTTTGTCTGCTCGTTCACACTACAAATAAAATGTGACAGCAAACGCGCTCTAGTGTGAACGCTCAAAGCGGCAAAAGAAGACGTCACACACAACGCGCTCTGTTTAGACCCAGAGCAACAGTATTGTTTGACTGATGGCCTTAATATAAAGACTTCAGACTTTACGTTAAGTTATAAAGTTATTGTGTTATCTACATTTGGCCTAATAATGATCCTTATTGTTGTTTTAGAGGAGCGCTGCTTCTAGCTGCAGATTTCTGTCAGAATCTGCAGATTATATAGTACAAATAAAATGTTCACGTTTCTCCAATGTTGTCTTCCCAACAGTTTCACTGACATCTACACGGGACGGACAGGAAGCGTTCACGATGCCTTCTCTGGCGCTGATAATTAGCGTCTGTCTTGTGTCAGTGACGTAAAAGACGGATTTAATGCGACATGACCATCAAACAGCAGCTTTCTAAATGTATCGGATTCAGCACCACATACGAAAGTGACCCAGATCGGATTTGAAAATATCGGATTTGTGCCGTTCACACTGTCACACCATGATGGGATAGATGGTCGCAGAGGCTCAAAAAGCCGTATTTGATGCGCTTTCGCCTGCAGTGTGGACGCAGCCTTAGAGACAGCTGATCACACATCATCTGTGAGCTTCTCTCTTACAGCCACCTCAGCTCACACACACTCATTTATTTATCAGTCATTAATATTTCAGCTCATTTATTCTGTAACACTGCTTTCATTTATTCATGCTAACGCTACTTTAGCTTCCTGCTGTGTCCACGTGTTCAGCGCGTTAGGCTCCACCTCCTCCTGATGAGTTTCCTCTCACAGAAAGTAAAAAGTGCTTCTTTTAAACACTTCTGTGTTCTGGCAGCCGCGCAGCTCTGCACCGACCTTGGGTCACCTCAGTGACGTGACTGCGCTGCAGGAGGTGGAGTTCAGCCTCGCGTGAAGCTGCAGGCTGCATACAGAACAGCCTCCTGCAGATCTTTGGACTCTCAGGTTTTTGGTGTCTCGATGTTCTCTAAATCTTTTATCCAGCGAGTCTTTATTTACTCTGCTGGCTATGTGGTAAAAAAAACGTGTGACACAAACTGAAAATGGAGAAGATCTACCTTCAAAGTAAAAGTCTCAAAAGATGTGACTTTTACTTTGAATTGAAATGTTCTCGGTTTGTGGAGAGCAGCTGCACAGACTCAACCACTTCCATTCATTTAACTGAAACTAAAATATACGTTTTTATCTCAGAGTAGCTCCATTCACTTCTGCTCAGTGGACTAAAAGCGCCCCCTGCTGTGCTCTCGGGTGAACTGCAACTACTTTTGATACAATGGTTTAACAGGAAGTGGAACAGCCCCCCGTGACTGGTTACCAAGAGGAGATTATTTTACAGCAGCACAGGAGAACCCGCCAACGCTATCAATGCACCGAGTCGTGACGAGAGGCTCGTGTTCCTGATGGTGAGACAGGACGCAAACATGAATGACCCCGCCCCCTGCACACCTGTGTTTGCCTGGTGCAAGTATACAGCCGAGAGAAAATGTCTCACAGCAAAGTTTCTGGAGCTTTTCTGACTAACTTCATGATTTCTGCAGAGAGCTAAATGATGGTCCTGCTTTTTCTCCCCGTGAGCCAGAAGCACGCGAGCAAAGATTAAACCACTGAGATAAATGATTGTACTTACCGTGAATGTATTACTGGGGCAAATATTGGTCAATCCAAACTTGTCTGTGAACTGTGTAAGGACGTTAGTGCCTGTGCCTTTACCGCAGCAGCTCAGCTGAAACACAAAGACAACACAGTAAAGACCTGGAAACCTCCGACAGGGCCAAACAAGCACCACAGCTGCAGTTCCCCTAACGTCCAGCAGAGGCAGCAGTCATGCGTCTGCGCATCTGAGCGTTCCAACAAAGGTGGACATCGAAGCTAATATTTACCTGCTGCTCGGTCTGCAGGTGTTCGTCACACTCGGGGGATCACGGCGTTGTTTTGCAGCCGAGTTTCAAAAATGGCAGTTTTGATTTTTGTGAACGAGACGCTCTCGTGACTCGTCGAGTGACGCTACTGACCAGCCAATCGGTTGCGTGCAGTCTGACGACATCACATTTTAGTACCTGTCTGGATCACGTAGAACCCCGGCCGAGCAGGTACTAAAAGAATACCTGGTTTTTAGTTTGTGGTACCTGATACCAGGTACCACAAACTAACGGAAAACGTGGCAAACTGTGCCAAGTCAGTCCGAGGAGGTACTCTAGGAAAAGGGGGCGGCAGACTCTTTATAGCAGAAACAAACATGTTTACAACCTGATACACAAACTGTTTGGTCTCTGTTTCCTGTACAGAGGAGGATGTTTCTATAACTCACCTGTTTAAATCCTATTAAGGTTTAAAGTTTGCATTATTAGGGGCGTGGCCTCTGTGACGAACAGGTGGATGTAGCTGCTAGCTGCACCTCAGCTAACTGCACCGTGTTTGTGCTGTTGGAGCATTAATGACATCATGTGACCAAAAACAGGACTGCTGTGAGGTCAGTGTACTAACAGGCCGTCACAGAGGGCGGAGCTCCGGTTAGCTGAGTGAAGTGTGAAGATTCGGACTTAATGTTTGTGATTAGCAGGTTTCTGAGGGTCTCGTGTTAGCTAGCGTTAGCTGATAACTCAGGGCTCCACCCTCTTGTGAAAACGCGGTGACAGACGAGACGCTCCCGAGGGCGTGGTGCAGACCCGACGTCTGCCTGCATGTCTCTGATTTGGAGTTTAGTTTCTGCTAATTCCAAAGTCAGCCCACCTGGTATTCCCAACTTTTATTCCCAAATTCAACACGTCCAAGTTGTACGTGACCTTCAAAGCATGCGTGTGATTATCACAGCTCTGCCGTTTTTCATGCATTACGCCGTGTTTGCTGTACTTTAAGGTGACGAGGTTCAGGACGCCTCAGAAAAACCTTTCTAAGAAAATATTCACACGATC